GGAGTTGAGGCCTTTTCAATTGTTGGTCTTGAATTCTCGTCTACTGTGTATTAACTGGAATCCTGATTTTTGCTCTCTTATTCATTTCATTCGACGTTTCATGCATTCGTGTCTAAAGATACTATAGATTCCATAGATAAGCGGAGGAAAAGTATAATGTAGCCAAACAAACTGAGTCATCATGGTGTTGTTTGAGGGAGAAGTATTGTAATATTATGAGCACAAAATGCTTCCCACACGGAACGGAAGAAGGAAAGATAAAGCAAACCATTCCTCAATACATTGTTGCAAAGATTTGCTTTGCGCTGCATTTTGAACTTTGACGCACGAAACGAAACAAAACTGCACAACGATGAGCCTTATGATGGCATGAACTTTTTTCACGCATGCCAGTAAGATCATTTATTTTTCATGGTTGCCAAAACAACTTTTTGTGCCTCCGCTTATCTATGGAATCTATAGTATCTATAGTGTCCACACTCTTTCGTATTTCTATCAGATGATATTGAACCACGAGATAGTTTAAATTCATCTTGTCCAGCGATAGACGAGTGCACGGATGGATTTGAGTTCACTCACTCGACAAAAAGTGACACAACAGCGGGGCCCTGTTTACTAAAAATGAACACATGAATAATACTTGCGTAAAATTTGACACAGTCCTATCAACTTTTGTACACAAAACTTGTTAAGCCCTTTTCGTGCGAACCGAATACGCCCACGCAAACTAACAACACCATCGGGTAGGGGAAATTCTCCCCTTCCCAATAGTGGCTTGGTTTGGGTGGGCGTACTTCGGTTCTCGTGAAAAGGACCTAGGAAGTTGTTTACAAAAGTTGATAGGCCCTTTTTAAATGTAATGCGAGCATTATTCATGTGTTATTTTTTAGTGAACAGGGCCCCGCTGTTGTGTCATTTTTTTTTCAGTAGATGAACAAAAGTTCACCCATGCACTGGTCTATAGAGATTGTAAAAGTCATTCATTTCACTAAATAAGTGTCAACATTTCAAAGGGGCATAATTGCTTTTGTAAACAATGACTTTAGCCGTCAATTTCTCGCGAATGATGTCTTACCTCTCCAAAATTACAATTAGGTACTGCAGCGTGATGTTATAAATGAACTCAGTGTTAATCGGCTGAACCTTTCTGACAGTTCAGTGGTACTGTTTACAAGCACTTCGTCATTTTTTCGAAAAAAAGTATTCTAAAATTTCCGAATTTTAACTTGAAAATTGTCGAGGAACAGCGCGTTGAACGGATGTTGCTCGTGGACATTGCAGAAGTGTGGTTTACATCTCACTACAGTCTGAAAAATTATCGAGAAAATCCACCCAAGAAAAAATCGACTAAGTCCACGTAAACAGTACCAGTGAACTGTCATCAGATTGAGGTTAACCCCGACGGTGCAAAACCTAATGCTAGCTGGTAGAGGAAACATTCCTCTACCTGGTGGTGTCATTATTTTTTTATGAGTTAGCTTTTATTTGCGAGAAATCGATGGCTAAAGCCATTGTTTACAACTGCAATTACGCCCCTTTGAAAATGTTTACCTAATGAATATTTCAAAGCGTAAGCCACTGCGGTGAGAAGAAGACGGGTGACCACGCCAATGATACAGATTGTTTCGAGGAAGAAGTGTTGTATAAGAACCTTCGTGTGGCATTTGAATCATTTTTGATTGTACCTAAACATATCAACTAATAAAATGTTTCGTTTATTCAATTTGTTTCAGCACATTCTTCTTTTCATGGCTCTTTTTGTACTGAAAGGATCTCGGTGCGAGACGGATAAAATTTCTTACATTTAACCTAGCTTGGTACAGTTGATTTCCGGATTGATTTTGCATTTATCTTTCGCATCTCTTAAGATGAATGAGAAAACTATATAGATAAGCGTTTGCTTACACTTCTCGTTGTTTTATGTCGATGCCATTGTAAACTACTTTTTTCTTTCAACAGAAAATTAGGGATCAGTGACTAGATGTAAACAATTACTTGTAATAGCCTTACAGCAGACTTTAAGGGTCTTTCTCCTCAACGAGGGGAACAGAGCCCTCCGCACTGCAGCCAACCTTTACCTCCCCCCGGTGGCCAGGGTCCACTGGCATGGAGAGAAAAGTTGGCGATCTAACGTTATCAAAATAGATAAGCGGATTAAGAGAGGATTCCAAGCCGGAGATAACTCTGTAGCGTTGAGGCGTTCATCAGTTGCAGAACTTCTTGGGTCGGTCTATCCGGGGCACGTTCATCGCTTTACGGACGGATCGCGATCACGGGCGCTGGAGTGGGACTCGGAGTGGCAGGACCAAACTCCGCAACAAGTCAAAGTCTACCGGAGGAGTGTTCCGTTTTTTTCCGCAGAAGCCGCTGCTATTCTTGATGCAGCCATCACTCCTGCAGATCAACCGATCCTTGTGGTAACGGACTCACACAGCGTCATCCAGGCGCTGGAAGCCGAAGCCCCGAGCCACCCCTGGATACAAGCCATTACACGATATGCCCCACCCTCAACCGTTTTTACGTGGATTCCCGGGCACTGCGGTGTTCCTGGAAATGAGGCTGCGGACAGGCTGGCAGGATCCGGTCCATCTGGTCCCCGCTTCACCAGGAACGTACGACTCCTAGACGTCAAGCGTTGGATCGCGAATATTATCATGGAAGCCTGGCAGGAGGAATGGTTTCAGTCGCGGACCACTTTCCTGAGAAAGATCAAAGAAACCGTACGACCCTGGCTAGACAGCCACAAGTATAAGGACCAACGGATCATTTCAAGACTCTGGACCGGCCATGCGAGGATTTCCCACAATTTTGGTGGGACACCCTTCCACAAGGTTTGTCCAATCTGCAGCATCCCTGCCTCGGTGGAACACGTGCTGTGTGTCTGCCCAGAGTTTCAGAGGCTACGCGAACAACACCGACTCCCAGAGAACATCAGGGAGCTACTTGGCAACGACCCCTCGACGCTGGCTGCGCTTATTGCTTTCTTGAAGGGCGCCCACCTGTACAACCAAATCTAGCACTCTCGTCGTTGGCTGCGCTGTATGTGATGAACTAGCCTACGGCTAACAATCACAAAAATAAAGAAAAAAAAACTTTAAAAATCAAATCCAGCTCCATCATATGCAGGGAGGCGAACGGCTACAGCCTCCAGAGACCCTATTCTAAAACGTGGTTTTTCTAATAAATATTAATCAGAAATCTGAAGCATCATACAGGTATACTGGTAAGTTACGATATAACGTAAATGTCACTTTTGACATCCATCGACAATATCTCGCTTTTAACAATTGAATCATATAAATTAACATTACCAATAAATGAGGGATTATCTCATCTGTCCGATGGTCCTATTACTTTGTTTGCTTGAATGATAATTCAAATCGACGGGAAATCGACGATGGACGTGACAGTTACGTTATATCGAGGTTTACCTGTACTGCAAAAAATGAGCGTTGTATGTTTATCCCACACGGAGATGAAAAACTACCAAAAATTAAGTACTTTTCCCTCAATTCCGGGGTTCAGCCCAATAACCCAATTTTGAGTAAATCGCATATAGTAGTTTCCATTTAACAGTAGCAAAAAATACCTACTTTTAGTATATTCTACCCAAAATTAAGTTTAATTCACCTAAATTTGAGAATATGCAATTTACTCAAAAGTAACTTATCAGCAGCTCTTATCATTAGAAAAACTAAAATACATGCATTCGTGACGGTCAGAGCCTGTCATATGACATTTTAGTTTGGTACTGTAATTTGATAGCTTGTTTTGCAAGTGTCGGAAACAAAGACAGTCGATTATCACAGAAAATGTGTCGACTATGGTGATCGCTAACAAGACTGCCGTAGAGTGAAAATTGGGGAGAAAATACACACTGCAGTGGCGTAGTTAGGGCAAGTGCAAAAAACTTGTTTTGTCACACTATCCAAAATTTATAAGAGGTGCCAAATCTAAGATCATAAATGTACCTAATAGAATATTTTCTTATTTATTTTTGTGAAGTGAACTTCTTAAGAAGGACATGGCATAAATTATTATAGACTCTTTTTTTTAAATATGATTAATTTCCCTAATGTCGGCCTGAGTGTTTCTAATATTTGACCCATAGGGGAATTTACGTATTCTCGTCAGTCTAAGCAGCGTCCGAACTTCTATTAGCGATTTCTCAGCGTCACACACATACATGACAGGTTTGTTTGTTGACATTTATCTGCTGCTTGCTGTTCTACCCATTCCAATCGACAGAATTGATCAAAACGGGTTGAACATGTTTTTACAACGCTCCAAACTTCTCAGGTGAGTGTGACTATTGTCGGCAGTCTCTTTTTCTTCGGCACCCTTTCCATTTGAACTGCGTGTTAACCAGCTGTTCTATTATAGGCAACTCGAAATCAGCCGTATTTTGTAGTGTGTATATTTAATTTAAAGAAAAATATGGCATAACAGGATTGCACAGTCGTAAAAATGTAATCTGATTGAAGCTGAAAAGGTAAAGAATCGGCTTAATACATTCAGCGAAGAGTTTTGATGGGAAAATACTGCGAAATTAACGTTTCAATTTCGGTTGCCGAAAACAGTCAATGGGTGCCGAAGCCATAATTTACCCTATATAAAGTGCGATGGATAGTATTTTTTTTGCCAATTTTTCACTAGTAACCAAAAATATTCTTTTTATATTGTACAGATGGCACATTGTTCTAAGGAAAATTGAAGAAACGGGATATTTTTATGGATTTGAACAAACATTTTTTCTACAACTTATATTCGATACAGTGCTTACGACATTGATAGTGACGTAATATCCACATATCCACGCTTTTTTGCAACAACTAAGTTTTGTTTTTGGATGGCTGTTTTTGGGTTATTCTATTGTTTTTGTCTAAACTACAGCTAATCTTTTTTCAGCTCTCATAACAATAATTATTATTTAATTTTTGATTGTATCGATCTGCAAGAGGTTTTAAATTTAAATACAACAAATTGTCACTTTGTTCCAGATAATCGTCTCTTCGATGCAGCAGCAAAATTACGTCAGGAAAACTTGGAACTCAAGATCGACAAAAAGATCCGTGACAGCTCCGGTGGTACGGCAGGTGCGGATTTGGCAGCTATTACCAACGCTCAAATTCAATCACTGGAAAAGAAAATCCTTGCACAACAGGAAGAACTTACCGATCTTCATAAGAGAAAAGGCGAGCACTCGCAGATGATAATCACCTTAAATCAGAAATTGACTGAACTACAACGAACGCTGGCCGAAAAGGAACGCATCCTGGCCGAACAGTTTGCAATGAATGTGGCTCTCAAAGATGAACTGGAAGAGCTCAAAACCTTGCATGTTACAATCAAGGATGAATCGTTAGCTTCGCAGCTACGCGCCAATACTGCGGAAGAAAAGCTAAGGGCTGTTCAGGACGAAAATAACAAACTATTGGCATTATTGATGGAGTACAAGTCTCGCGATGCGGAAATAATGAATAAAGAAAATGACAAATTTATCAAAGAAAAGAAAGCTAGAATCGAAAGTGAACTGGAACGTGCAATTAGAGACATACCAGGGCCATCGTCGCTTGGTGGAATCGGATCCGATATGGATCGATTCGATTTTGGCTCCGATGGACCTCCGGAGGGAGTTGAATTTAAATTCGATGCACATGACGGTGAAGTGATCGCAGTTCGTTGGAGTCCGGTAGAGCGGGTCGTTGCTACCGGTGGTGCTGATAGGAAAGTAAAGCTCTGGGATGTGGGAAAAGGTATAGTTGATTCGTTTAAATTGAAATATATGATATCTATAAACGAATATTTTATCATTGTAGGGGTTTGTGAGCCAAGAGGTACTTTGGTTGGAAGTAATCAGGGCATCAATTCGTTAGAATTTGATAGCACTGGTTCATTGATTCTGGCCGCATCGAATGACTTTGCCAGCCGTGTATGGACCGTCTCGGATCAACGACTAAGGGTGAGTAACGAATTTTGATTATTAGGACGGCAAGCTATCGTCTTCTCGGTAACAGTTTGATAATTGCACATTCTTGAAATCAGCTGGTGGGCAGACCGTGTGGCCTAATGGATGAAGGCGTCGGACTTCGAATCCGAAGATTGCAGGTTCGAGTCCTGTCACGGTCGCAAGTAGAGTTTTCTTTTTTACCGAACTTGTTGCATTGTAAATATAATAGGTTTAGGAGTACATCTTCGGCGAGGGAAAATCAGGGGGGCGCAACAGGTGGTTATACATGATTTATTTGCAACATTCATCTCGTGGTGGTAGCAAATGCAGGGATGCTGCGCAGTTGGTCCACTGCGCATTTTCTCCCCCCAGGAAGAGAAGCTTTTGAGATTTTATTGTTTGCAAGAGGGGAAAATATTATAGGTAAAGAAGATTGAAGGATTGGCTTCGATGACAAATTCCAAGTACGGCACGAAACCTCAACAAAAAATTAATACGTATGTGTCAACAGCGAAAGTTATATTGATGCTTGTTTGTTAAACATGTTTAGTCATATTGTACCTAATTTTTTGTTTTGTTTTTAAAGGATGTGGTGCAAATGATGGAATGTGTTCATTAATAAATATTAATTATTAAGTATTTGTTGACTTGAACTTTTTTTTTCATAATCCATTTATTTGGAACTTAAACTTATTTTATGTAATTTTCATCTAATGTTGCGTTGCCAATCATAAAAAGTTATATTTTGACAATCGCAGCTTTAATCGAACTCGAGTTGTTAATTTGCATGTTCTTTTTTCCTAGGATTTTTAAAATAGCAATTAATAACGACAATTATTTAATCACTCACTAATTAAGAGAATAAATTACGGATATGTTTACAATTATAACATAATTTTTAATTCATATTTATTGTCCACGTTTGGAAAATGATGACACTTTCGATGTGTACCTCGTGTGTACCGTCCATATTCTCATATTTTGTTCATTGTTCGTATTTTTAAATAAACATCCAGTTAGCTTTCTCGGTAGCTTATGAAGTAGAAGCACCATCTCAAATCAATCAAGTAATAAGTCACACAAAATTGAAGAAAAATCAACCCCCTTTCGTCGCGCGTTTTCCCTATACTTAATACTTTGCTTGTCACAGATTCTAAGGCGCTAGGCTCAACTATGAGTTCAATCGAGTAAGCCATCGATTTGCGATATCTACGAAGGTTTCAGAGCAACCTCAAGTTCCACCCGGCGTCTTTCTGAAGGTGGTACGTAAAAGTGCAGCGCAGAGATACCATCGAACGGTGAAGTCGCTTTTACTCCTCAGGAGGGGATTGTTTTCTAACAAGTTTGTCAGCATTTTCACTGATGGAAGATTAACCGACGAACACGTTACCTTAGCAGCTTGGAATGTATCAATTTCCGACCAAGCCTTTTTATATCAGCATCAAGATGATTTTCACTGCCGCATAACACCCCAACTCGTCTTTCAACCCAGGACACCCTTATGGTGTTACGCCAGTATTTCTAAAGAAGTGTATCATCAGCTTGTTGATACTATTTGGAACATCTCGAGTGGTACATTCCTATCTTGTTGGAAATTTGCTCATAAAGTCTGTTCCAGTTAGTATTAGGCCGCTTCTTTTTAATTACTGTAGCGCCTCTATTCGTCGTAGATAGATGCTAGAAACTATTGACAGCGTTTTGATCCGGAAGGATTGTTAATTTACTAGTGAAAATTTCATCAGGATCATATACTTGTTCAAAGGTTATCGAAGATGAAACGTGAAAAAATTCTTCACACTCACGTGCAAAATCCAACGTGGTCAGGAGGAATGATTGCAAAGGCTCTCAAATTTCCAAAATCGGCTGTAAATACCGTGCTTAAACGTTACCGGGAAACACTAACGTTGAATCGTGCAAAACAAAACAAACGTAGAAGTGGAACATACGACCGAAAACTACGAGCGAAGGTCATAAGGGCAGTCCAAAAGAATTCTGGGATCTCCGGTCGTGATTTGGCGAAAAGGTTCAGTGCGGCACACAGTATAGTTCGGCGAATCTGTATGCGAGAAGGTTTTCGGTCGTACCATGCCAGCAAACATGCCAACAGGACGCTGAAACAAAACCTGGTTGTCAAAAACCATACAAGGAGCGAGCTAGTTCTGACCAAGTATAACGGATGTATTTTGATGGACGATGAAACTCACGTAAAAATGGACTTTGGACAAATGCCGGGCCAAAAATTTTACTTTGCTAAACGTAAGGGGGATGCTCCGGATAAATTCAAATTTGTCTTTGCAGATAAATTGGCTCGCAAGTTGATGATTTGGCAAGGCATCTGCAGTTACGAAAAGAAAACACTATGAATGGACAACTTTACAAGGAGGAGTCTCTTAAGACCATAATTTTGCCGTTCATTTAATCACACGAAGTTCTGGCCTGTCTTAGCCAGCTGCCATTACAGCCGTGATGTCATAGAATCAGGATTGATGGAGCCGCACTCGCGAGTTTGAAATGAGCCGAGCGTTGCATTTTTATGAGGAGTAGAATGCTTACTGCTAAATCATTACACTGAGCTTCAGAGCTTGTGAGCGAAAGGGGATAAAAATGAGAGTGAGGTTAGCTGCCATTCATATTCATGTTTTCTATCACACGCTCTTACTCTCACTCTGGGTGAACTCTGAGCTTCTTGCGTCGAACAAAAAAGTCATCCGGAGTCCCGAAAAGCGGACCTCACGTCTCTCGAGGAGTTTTTGTTTACTTCTTCCATATTCCTGCCGCCACTCACTCGAGATGAGGGCTGGCTAAACTCGCAGGACAAGAGTTTATTTAAACCTCCAGTGAGTTTGAGGAGTTTCAGCAAGCCTGCATATAATGGTATAAGCAGAATAATGTCGATTTTATTGAGAAAAGTATCAATCCACCAAATTGTCCAGATTTTCGTCCCATTGAAAATTTTTGGGCAATTATCAAGCGCAAATTGAAGAAATGTTACAAAACACCATCTAATTTGGAGAAGTAGTGGAAAAAGATGGTAGATGAGGTTGACAGTACTACTGTGCAAGACATGATGAGAGGTATTCCGCGAAAAGTTCGAAAATTCATCCGAGAAACTGACGATTATTTTTTGTTGTATGTTTCCCTTAAAGCTAAATAAAAATCCTACAAAATGATACCTTTAGCGTTTTTGTACTTTATTTCTCCTTGGCGAAATGACCTATTTTGTGCGGCCAAATTCTAAATGGAACAGACTTTATGTATCCTGTCCACAAAAAGGGAAGTGAACGGGACGTGATTAATTATTTTGGAATCACATCGTTGAGCGCAGTTTTGAAGTTATTTGTGTTAGTCATCAATGATGACTCATCATGGATCCTCTGTTCTATCTCTGCACTATCTAAGTGATGATCGACATAACTTCACTACCACTAATCTGCTGTGTTTGGTAGAAGGGTTCAAACAGACGTCATATACACCAACTTGTCAGCAGCCTTCGATAAACTAAACCATGTAATCGCGATTGGCAAGTTGAATAAACTTGGGGTTACGGACATCTCTTTCAATAGTTTTGCTCATATCTCACTGATCAACAGCTGATGGTAGCCATCGGTTACTGCCTGTTTGATATTTGTCTAACAACGTCAGGAATACCGCAAGGAAGTCACCTGGGACCGTTGATCTTCTTACTCTACTTCAATGACGTGAATTGGCCACGACTACGGTGAAGTCAAACCGATTGTAATTCCGGAAAAATGTCCTCATTTCGTTGGCACCTTATGGGGTGTGATATTTGACGGAGAGACCATTCTAAACGGTGATCACCTTAACTCTAGTTTTATTTACATCTATTCATATACAAACTATCACCGTTTTCTCATACCAAGGATGGTTCATCATCGGGATCTATCTGTATTAATTAATCATTAATTAATTAATTGATATTTTTCAAGTTGCGTGTTATGTTATATCATCGAAAAATATGCCCCCCTGAAAAGCAGAACTGTAACGTGATCTCTGGACGATCGATTTTCCGGATGAGACTGACATGCGATTACTTTGTTTAATGGGACAAACTGACTTGATATTGTTTTTACATTTTTCATGATCAAACTCCGTAGTTTTATCACGTAATATGAAAGTAGATGCGACTTGATATTGGATAACGTTGTTATCTTAAAATCGACGAAAATCCATATGAGACTGATATGCGATTATAGGAACCTTCGCATGAACCAGAAGTCAACAGGCGAGCAGATGATCCACAATCACGAATTAATAACTGGGGATCGTTGTTCACAAAACAATAGATCTCAATGGAGAAGACATCACCATCGGAAGACGCCATCAATAATGAACATCCGAAGTAATGGCACCAGACATCAAAGATAAACATAATCAATCGGATAATGCAGCCGACTGTCAATGCACAGCATAAACATCACCCACTCTCATGGTCATGGTCACCATCATCGTGGGGAGGAACTAGATATGAGGATAGGATGTTTAATTTCTTTTTATTCCACGTTAAGCATGAGCATGAGCATGATTGACCGCCCACGGTTGCTACTCTGTTATTGCCAGACCAGCTGTAATTACACAGAGAACCAATAGACGATGCTTGGGACTAGCAATCATCCTCAATGTGTAAAAACTGGTGATCTCGAATTAGGCAATACCAGCGCCAGCCGCGCCTGAACGCAGGTCAAGAAAGGAATGGGTAGGAATGTGTTGACGTGACACTCGCTTTGATGGAAGCCGAGGAGTTCTCTGCACTTCCACGAGGAATCACAGGGATGTTGGGTAAGAGGGTTGGGTTAGCAGCAGGGTTCATTTTGGTAAACGATAAGCTGAATTGATGTCCTAACGAGCGTATAACACGAAGGAGCTTGGGATTGAACCCACGGTCCTCTGCTCAGTAAACAAAAACGTCTGCCGATAGGCAGGCGAGCTCCTTTTTAATCATTGACGAATCTTGAATGTGGATGGGCCTGAGACTAGACTCATGAGGTTCTGCT